TAAAGCGAAGGGAGAAGAAGATCACAGGACAAGGCTGATGGAGGAGCTGTTCCGAATCCTGGAGTGGCTGCAGGAGAGACAGGGCAGGGTGGCATACTTGCTAGAAAACCTGAACCTGGAGGGAGACAGCAGAGAGCCGATCCGACTGGTGAGAGACAAAATTAGGGGGCAGCTGGGAGAAGGGGTGAGCTGTGATGTGGCCAGAATGGGGTCGTATGCGCACAGGCTCAGAATGTACTGGCAGAATGTGGTCCCTGCCATGAAGCTGAAAGCAGAGGTGGATGGGGTGAGGCAAGCAGCAGAGAAGAAGGTGCAGGACATCCTGGCGCCAGGGCGTACCCCAGCGGCGGTGTGTTGCAAGAGCTTCAGCAGGCATGAGCAATGCAACCAAGTAGGGCAGGAGAGGCGAGCCCTGCCCACTCTGGTAGCAAATGAGGGGGCAGCAGGGTACAAGTGGGAAGCAGGGAAGCCCGGACCGGGGATGGTGTATGATAACGGGAGACGGAGATGGGAGGAGCCCACGGCACTCGAGCGGGAGTTGGCTATGGGCTACGAAGAAGATGCAACAGCAGCACCCGGGGCGAGTGAGGCGGACAGGAGGAGGGCTCTGGGGAATGCAATGGATGGCCACGTGCTGAGGTGGCTGATTCAACGGATGTGACAAGAGACGGTCGTCAGCTGGGGGCAGGAAGAAGGGAAGGGAGGAATTGAGGCAGAGCCGCGGGGAGCATGGAGCTGCCAGGAGAAGGAAGAGGAGAGCTGGGTGGTGGAGGAAGCGATGAGCAAGGAGGGAAAGGATGCCATGCAGGAGCTGCTGGCCTGGCATAGGAATTGTTTCGCTTTCACCATGCAGGAACTGGGGAGGTGCAAGCTGAAAGAGATGGAGCTGAAGGTGAGCAGCACAGAACCAGTGTTCCACCGTAGGAGGAAGATGCCGCCCATGTACAAGGAAATCTGCAAGGAGAAGATCAAGGAGCTGCTGGAAGCGGGACTGATTAGGAGATCAGAATCCGAATACGCCACACCAACAGTGGTGGCAGCCAGGCGAGACCTGACAGGGGAAGTGTTGAGCAGGAGGATGTGCGGGGACTACAGGGCACTTAACAAAATCACCATAGCAGAAAGGTACCCGATGGCGGAAGAGATATTTGACAAGTTAGCGGAGGGGGTGTTCTTCACTACGCTGGACCTGCGGCAAGGGCTCAACCAGATCAAGATCCGGGAGGAGGACATCAAGAAGACGGCCATTCATGGGCCAGACGGGCTATATGAGTGGTTGTACATGCCATTTGGACTGCGGAACGCATCAGCAGTGTTCCAGAGGGTCATGGACAGCGTGCTGCGGGGAGTGGAGTGCGCGGCCTGCTAGATTGATGATGTGGTAATCTTCAGCACAACCGAGCAGCAGCACCTGCAGGATGTGGAGAAGACCCTGGCGGTGATTGAAGCGGCAGGACTCACCTACCACCCGAAGAAGTGCAGATGGGGGGAACAGACAGTGCAGTATCTGGGGTACGAGGTGAAAGGGGGACAGATAGGGATCCAACAGGCCAAGGTAGAAGTCCTGGACAGACTGAGGGAGCCGAAGGACAAGACAGGGCTGAGAGCAGTGCTGGGCTTCCTGAGCTACTACAGGCGGTTTGTGCCCAAGTTCAGTAAGAGAGCAGCGGTGCTGAATGGGCTGTTGCGGGAGGACAAGGCGTGGGAATGGGGAGAAGCACAGAAGGGAGCATTGCAGGACCTAATGGCAGCAGTAAAGACCGCAACAGGACTCAAGCTGCCCGCCGCTGATCACCCGTTCATGCTCTACACCGACTGGAGCAGCCAAGGGATGGGGGGGATACTCTGCCAGGAGGTGGAAGGAGAGGAGAAGGTAGTGGCATATGCGAGCAGGAGCTGCAACTCGGCAGAGGTACAATACAACTCCTACATAGGAGAAGGGTTGGCAGCCGTGTGGGCAGTGGGGCATTTCAGGGTGTACCTGCAGGGGAGGGAATTCACCTTAGTGACAGACCACCAGCCCTTGACTTGGCTGATGACAATCCCGGGGCTGACGGGCAGGAATGCAAGATGGGCAATGAAGCTGCAGGAGTATGACTTCAAGATCAAGCATAGGCCAGGAAAGACATTGCATCACGTGGATGGCCTCTCTCGGAACCCCCCACCGCCAGAGCTCACTGTGACCCTGACACTGCTGGCAAGATTAGTGGAGCAGAATGGGGCCAAGGAAGGGAAGGGGCCAGCAATATTTGGGAGGATGTACCGGCCATGCGGTGGGTGAAAGGAGAGACAGGAGAGGACGAAGAGCTGCCGGCATGAGTAAGGGCAAGGAGCCAGCTCTACAGATGGTACCAGCAGCAGCTGCAGGTGCAGTCAGAGGATGGGTGGAAGCTGGTGCGGGCCCCAGGCGAGAGAGAAGCAATGATTAAGGAGGTACACACAAAGCTAGGGCACTTTGGGCACGAGAGAACTGTGCAGCTGCTGAAGATAGGGTGGTGGTGGGAGGGGATGCGGAGGCAAGTAAAGGGGTGGGTGGAGGGCTGTGAGGCGTGCCAAAGGAGCAGGGCAAACCTCACCCAAGCCAAGGCGGAGTTGCAGTCGCTGCCCATCCGAGGCCTAGGTTTCAGGTGGTCCATAGATCTGGCGGGGGAGCTGCCGCTGAGCCGGGGAGGGAAGCTATACATAGTGCTCATGGTCGAACATGTGAGCAAGTGGCTGGAGGTGAGGGCTATCCCAAGCAAGAGCTCAAGGCACGTGGCAGCGGCGTTTAAGGAACAAGTGGTATGCAGGTTCGGGGCATGTGCAGAGGTCCTCACGGATCAAGGGACAGAGTTCCAAGGGGAGTTCAAGAAGCTGCTGGAGGAGACAGGGATCACCTACAGGCGCACTTCTCGGTACCACCCACAGAGCGATGGGCTGACTGAGCGACTGGTGCAGACCTTGAAGCAGGGATTGCGAGCGTACGGGGAAAAGAGGAAGCGGGACTGGGATGAGGGAGCTGCATTGGATTGCAGCAGGGTATAGATTCGGGAAGCAGGCGGCCCTGAGAGATCACTCTCCTTATAGTCTCCTATACGGATGTGAGCCGCTGCTGCCGGTGGGAGCAACACGGGTCCTCACAGACACTGTGACGGTAGGAACAATAGAGAACTGGGTGGCAATGTCAGAAGCCAGGGCAAGATACCTACGAGTGATGATGCCAGTGGCATTGGAGAATCTCCACACCGCCCAACTGAGGGATGCTCGGCGCTATGCGGCAGCAGCAAGGGGCGGGGGGAAGACCCAGGAAGGGAGTGAGTCAGGGGCAGGAAGTGTACCTGAAGCGAGCAAAGCAAGATATGCTGGATGTTGGGGAAGGCTCAGAGAGGTGGAGGGTGAAGGAGGTCCGTCCCTCAGGGATCTTGGTTTTGGAAAATGACAAAGGGGCACTCCTGAAGGAGCACCAGAGTAACACGGCCATGGTGAAGGGGGGCAAACCTCAAGAGAAGGGTCCTGTGACACGAGCTCAAGCAGCTAGAGCACGAGCACAAGAGGGGGCAGTGGGTAAGTGAGGCTATGCAACATGGAGAAGGAAGAAACAGGAGAGACAGCATGAGAAGAACAGGTGCAGGGAGAAGAGCAGGTGCAGGATGAAGAGCAGGTACATGAAGAAGAGCAGGGGCTGAGAGGAGGAAGGTTCTCCGACAGACAACAGCAACAAGAGCCGAGGCCGGCTGCAAAAAACAGTGGGGTGTGTAGTCAACGACGAAAGAACATGGGAGACAACACGACAAACGACATGGAAAGATTCGGAGAACAGAGCGGGAGACACACAGAGGGACGATACGGGAGACGATAGGAGGACTAGAGGAGGTGGAACACGAGAGCGGAGAACAAGGTGAAACGGACCGTCGGCACGGTAACGAGACGGACGAGACTTAGGGGACACAACACGGCTGAGAGGAGCACGACAAGACTACAGGATTGAAAAAGTGACGGGTCAGGAGGAACATGAGGAAACTGCAGGAGACCACAAAGGAAGTGCGCCGGCGAGGGGTCAGGAGGCTCCTGCTGCCGCTGCAACTACACCTGCTCCTTTTGCCGCTGCAACTGTTCCTGCTCCTCATGCCGCTGCACCTTCTCCTCCTCCTCCTCCTGGCACTGCAACTGCTCCCGCTCCTCTGCAGCTGTCGAACACCCTGCTGACGCATCAGGTAATGTACGGCAGGATGAGCAGGTGCTCCAGAGTCAGTGCCCCCAGTTCCAACACCTGCAGAACCAACACCTCCAGTGCGAGTACCTCCAGCGCCAACCCCAGTGTCACCAAGACCTCCAACAACGACTCCCCTAGAGCCTTCAGCACCTCCAGTAGCAACAACCCCAGACTCTACAGCGGCTGCCTGCAGAGGTGAACGAGGAGGGGACTGCGGAAGGGATGGGAAACCGGGGGGTTAGGCTAGACCGGGCCTCAGATGCGAGGTAGCCGTATCCTCCACAGGTGGGGCCTCCCCTCCAGCCGCACCTCCCGCAGCCCTAGGACCGTCACCACCCACTCCAACACCCCCGGGACCAGCACCCTTCACAGCCATGTATAATTTCGATTCAATTAAAATTCTAAGGATGCGATATACAGTTTGGTGTACAAAAAAATATGTTTATATAAGCATGTAATTCAATTGTCCCATGCGCTTAAAAATGTCCTCTATTACCATATAAGCAAACGGGAATTATTATAAGTGCAACTTCTCATAGATTCATGTGATGGTATTGTGTATGTTTTATGGGCCAAAGAAACAGTGTAAAATAAAGTATGTTCAGAGCTGAGCCATGCTAGACATTACTGGCATGCGCCTAACACAGGCCAGGGCATATATGCCAGGTGTGACGGTATTAACGTGCACAATAGCATACACTAAGCTGCATTATGCAGGACTATATTGAGTCCCCTTTATTTAGATGGATGAATGTGTTACTGGTACACTGACCGTATGATACAGGGGTGGAGCCTTCAATAGTTACTCCTAGGAGAGCCCAGCAGCAGAGAACACTGCAGCCAGCTCCTGTGCCATGATAGGTTTCCTCGCTGCTCCATCCATCCCAGCCTCCAAGCATGCTCTCTTGATCCCTGCATCCAAGTCCGCAGTCAATGCTATAATGCAAAGCCGCTGCCTGGGTGCACACGTTGCTGTGCCTGCATCATCTACAGTTAGATCTGCTTCATTCATTTGCTGTGCGTCTTCCATGGCACGCACTTGACGCGCCGTTTCAAATCTGATGCACCCAGCCAGCAAAAGGAACAAATGAGAAGAAAGAAAGAAGCGTGCGCAGAAAAGGACAAACAGAAAAACGTCGTAAGCGACCAGTGAGGCAGGAAGACAAGAGCAAACCAGAGCAAGGCAAGAGAAAACAACATAAGACAAGAGGCAAGCTGAGACGAACAATGGCAAGAGCAACTAGAAATGATATCCCCAAGATGCAAAGAGGCCATAGCACGGAGGAGGCGTGAAAGAGAGGCGAAGTAGGGCACGGAGAGGGGTGAAGAGTGGTGGACCAGCACATAGGGGAGGGGAAGGAGAGGTGAATAAAGACACTCACCCGTCGATGCCGGGCGGCATGTGGAGGTCGAGGAGCAGCAGGTGGATGGGCGGGGAGGGCGTGGCAGAGGAGAGCGCCTGCAGCACCTCCTCCCCGGAGGGGAGCAGCAGCACGTGCGCCCCGTAGCCCTGCAGCGTTCTGCGCGCCACCATGTGGGACACCGCGTTGTCATCCACCACCGCCACCCCCCACACCGCCACCACCCCCTGCACCACCCGCTCCGCCTCCCCCACAACCCTCTCCAACTCCACTTCTGGAAATGTGCTCGCACGCACCAGCGGCGACACTGGTTGTGCCGCTGCTGCGTGCTGCTGCGGCGGCGAATCTGGTTGCGCTGCGGAAGCACACTGAGGGAACCCCGAGGTAGCACTGGGTGGACCCTCAATGCCCCCCTGCAATTCACTCTCTCGCCCCACATGCTCCTCTCCAGCCCCCCTTGACTCCCCTAATCCCTCCTTACTCCCTTGCTCAGCTTCCCTTCTGCAGCCAGCGTCCTCCCCTCCCCCCATGGCCAGCGCGAGCAGAAACGTGTGCGGAACCGAGTGCGCATGCACCAGCGCTCGCGCCCCTGCTGCCTGCAGCTGCTGTGGTGCTGCTGGTTGCGCCGTGACAACACTGGCTGGCCCCTCCGTGCCTCCCACCGATCCGTTCTCTCGCTCCACAAGCTCCCCCACAGCTCCCCCTGACTCCCCAACTTCTTCCTTACACCCCTCCTCACCTAATCTTCTGCTACCTGCGTCCTCCCCTCCCCCCATGGGCAGAGCCAGCAGAATGGTGGTGCCTGTGGAGGCGTCTGACAGCACTGCCATGCCCCCCCGCATCTCTGCCACCTGCCGGGCGGGGAGAAGAAGAAGAGGGTGAGTGGGGTGGGACGGGAAGAGAAGAGCGTACGGGATTGATGAAGTGAACAGCACTGCCATGCGGGGAGAAAGAGGGAATGGGGGGGTTGGTCAGGAGAGAGAGAAGAGAGGAAGGTACGTCAGAAGAGTGGGAAGGGAGGTCAGAAGACTGGGGAAAACGGAAGGTAGGTCAGGCAAGCGGTAGCAAATGGTAGAGGAGGAAGAGGGCATGACTTCGAAAGGGACACTGAGGCCATTTGCAATGTATATGGAACATCGTGCAAATACCTCCGACTACAGTCACACAAACATGGTAGGGAGCTCACAGAGGAAATCGAGACACTTACAAGGGAGGTGGAGAGCAGGAAGCGAACAGGGTAGGGCGTCCAGCGGGGGCCGGTAGCTGCCTTGCAATCTCGCTGCAGGGGATCCCACGTGCTCCGCTCCCACTGCTGCCGCGGTGATGAATCCCCTGCTGATTTTTGTGATTCTGTCCTCCCAAACGATGTGATCTTCTCCTGACATGTTTGAGAGATGAGGAAGCGAGGAAACAAAGAGAACGTAACGAGTCGAGGGAAAAAAGGATGCAGGCGACAGTCAGCTTGGCTGCCAGTCTTGCGTGTGTGCGAAAGGAGGGGCGGCAGCGGGAAAAGGAATAATTGCCTGAGAGTTTTCCTTACCCAGGTGGTGCCTTGAACCAAGGAACACCAAGGCTATTTGTCTCACAGGCTCCGCCAGAAAGTCAACCAGAACACCCTTGCTAGGCAATGCCGTGAGGACCAACGTGATGTGCTAATGTCCTTCTCTCGATTTCTTTCACATCTCAGCCTTGCAACCGTACACCCTTGCATTCATTGTTTGCTCAAATTACCCGTGGCGTCATGGATGGTAGCTACTTCAGGAAGCTCAGGCTTCCGTTTTGAATAACAAGACACCCTTGGCAGCCAAATGCTTCTCTCCATAAAAGTCAACGCAAGTCACACAAAATCTTTCCTGGCTCCAGGGGCTGCATTTTGAATAACAGCGCAGGCTCCCCTGGTTAGTGGCGGATCCACAACTGGTAATCGAATATGCATATGTTCGCCGTTGGTGAAGTGCTAATGACAATCAGCATGCGACAACAAGGCACTGACCATGATTCCTCGCTGCCTTTTGAGGTACCTCAAAAGGCATGCGACAACAAGGCAAGGCACTGACTAGGGATGAGCATATTGGCGAACACCCGTTCGGTTCGTCTCGAACATGTTCGAGACGAACCGAACGGGAATTTTTTTTGGCCAAAAGGGTTCGTTACGAACACGTTCGACCTTCGCGCGAACATGTTCGCTGTTCGCGCGCCGCGATGGGCCGAGGCGCGTCAAACACGAACATGTTCGTGTTCGTGTTCGTCGACGAAATTGCCGCGACCAATTTTAGGGTCTCGGCCATACCAATTGCGGCTCTTTTTTTTTAGCATGTCGACCATGGCACTCCTAACAGCCCGCCCACCCCACAACAACCTACCACACCCACACCTTCTAGGACTAGCATAGGCCCTCAAGTCGTTGAAGTATGGCGTTTTGGCATTATAGTGACGAAATAGTTCAATACTAAGGACGTAGCATATACTCCATAGTACCAGATTCGTATCTAGCATCACATTAGGGTTTGCACTACCGTTGAACTAGTCTTCTCTCCACCGTTAGCTTTAAGATCATATACAATGAGAACACTAGCATAGGCCCTCAAGTCGTTGAAGTATGGCGTTTTGGCATTATAGTGACGTAATAGTTCAATACTAAGGACGTAGCATAAACTCCATAGTACCAGATTCGTATCTAGCATCACATTAGGGTTTGCACTACCGTTGAACTAGTCTTCTCTACACCGTTAGCTTCATCATACTAGTCTTCTCTCCACCGTTTAATTACAGACACTGAGAACACTCTATAATCCCATATACAATGATGCATTGGCATTGGCAGTGCTTAAATCTAGAGTCTTGTAGTGCCCCCCCCTCTAGGGCGAACACGAACATGTTTTCGCCAAAACTTAAGAAATGTTCGCCTGTATTGGCGAACTTCGAACACCCTTTCTGCTATACATGGGCATTTGACCCGGACGGGTCGGGTCAGGAATGCTGAGAAGGCCGACCCGCCCGGGTCGGGTCGGGAAAACCCGGACGGGTCGGGTCGACCCGTGACCCGTCACTGTGATTTAGTGACGGGTTTTTGCAACCCGCCGGGTCAGGTTGACCCGTCCCGTCCGGGTCGCGTACCCAGTCAAATGACAGGGTTACCCGACCCGTTTTCGGATTAGGGTAGGGGTTGAACATTGGTTGGTTTTTTAGGTTTTTTTTCCCTCGACATTCTGATCTAGTCGCTAGACTAGATCAAGGCTAGTACTTCTGCGCTGCAGCTAGGGAGCCTCATACAGTCTTCACTCTTCAATGTTAGCACTATTTAAACTGCATATTATCTTCAGGTTAGGGTTTGGCGCTCCCGCCATTTCGCAGCGTCGCACGACCAGGGGCGCAGCAGCGGGCGTGCGGCCACGCATTGGCGGGATCGCGTCCCCGCAATAGCGCGATCTCGGCCCCGCGTTTGCTCAGCGCGATCACGGCCCCGCATTGGCGCGATCGCCGCCCCGCATATGCGCGATCGCGGCACCGCATTAGGACAGGGCGATCGCGGCCACCTTCAGCAGCGCGAAGGCGCCACCTTCAGCAGCGCGAAGGCGCCACCTTCAGCAGCGCGAAGGCGCCACCTTCAGCAGCGCGAAGGCGCCACCATCAGCAGCGCGAAGGCGCCACCTTCAGCAGCGCGAATATAGTTGTAACATGTAGCTTACAATGTAGCAATTCAGACCTAACCCCCATACCCTGCTGCTATGTAGCATATTTTGATCCGACCCGACCCAACCCGTGGTGTAACCGACCCGGTAACGGGTCACAAATACCCGTTCCCACGGGGCGGGTCGGGTCACCAAAACAGAGTCAAACCCGACCCGCTAACCCGACCCGACCCGACCCGTTAAGCTAACGGGTCGCCCTCAACGGGACGGGTCGGGCCGGGTCGGGTCAAATGCCCATGCTTACTTTCTGCTGTTCGGTTCGCCGAACGGCTATGTTCGACCCCAGGCGAACACGAACATGTTCGTGTTCGGCATATGCTCATCCCTAGCACTGACCATGATTCCTTGCTGCCCCTTGCCGTTCAGATCTCCACCCTCCTCGGTGTCATCTATCGAGTGGCAGGACTCTCCGTATGGGTCCAGCACCCACCGCAGCTCCTCGGGTGGTATACCACCGCTCGTGTCTTCACATGCCACCACCACCATCCACTCGCCCTCCTCCCTCACCGCACACGCCCCCTCCACCCACTCCCTCACCTCCTCCAACCGCCCACACCACCCCTGCGTCTCGCCCTCGCCTGCACTGTTCATGCCGTCTCTGCTGCACACCTGCTCACACGCCTGCCCACACGCCCGACTCGCACTGTCCACTTCCTTGGCCTCCACAACACCGCCTCTTGGCTCCCCGCGTGCTCCCACCTTCCCTCCACCACCTCTCCCTTCCCGTCCTCCCCGCCCCCACCATCGGCCAACTCCCTTGCCCACAGACCCCACTTGGCTGGCTGAGGGGCGCTGAGGGTGGCAGACCAGGCGTGTAGGTGGAGGGAAGCGCCGCACACAGCCGGCCAGCTGATGCCACGCTGAGGATTCTGGGGGAGGCTCAGAGGAGGCTTGTGTGGCGCCCGTGGGAGCAGCGGCTGCAGGAGCTGAAGGAGTGCTTTGAGAAGACGCAGCAGCATCGCTCTGAGAAGAATGTGGAGGAGGGATGCACCAGAGGCGGATGGCCACGTGGCCAGATGCTGTATGGCTCACGGCGTGGCTGCAGCAGGGAGGGGTGTGGGGGAGGGGGCATCAAGAGAAATATTGGGAATGCATGGAAGAACAAAACAAGTGGCTCTAGAAATAAGCCTTTAGAAACAGCAATGTGTTACATCTCAACTGTTTGGCCATATGATACTGCAGATGATTGAATGCCGGGCGTGTCTCTGCTCAGGTGAAGGGCACACTAGGAGGTATATTTTTGAGGCGCCTCAAAAGCAGATAATTGAATACCAGGCGTGTCTCTGTTGAAGAGAAGGTACACTAGGAGGTAAGGCCTGACGCGACTCGTCCGTGCAAGATGTGCACCGGACTCATCAGCTTCAAGCGTAGCAGCAAACGATCAGCCTCACGGCACATGAAGCGGTGGTATGAAGCGGACTGTGACACACGAGAGCTGTTAGCTTTTGAATCGACTCAATACCAGCATGATACACCTTCCCCATAGTTGGGTACCCTCCTCCTGTACCGGAGTGAAGAAGGCGAGGCCGAATCTGCGATGTGGCCGATTCTAAAGGGATGGATGCGTAGGGAGAGTCCTGTTGTGTTTGTGGTTGACTGCATGAGACTTGCCTGCCCTAGCTAGTATGAATTTCATTCTTTGCCTTTGTTTATTCATATGTTCTGTGTATATGGTGATGCTACTGATAGACTAGTACAGGCATTTCAGCTAGTCCCCACGAGTAACGTGAGCTAGGCATGAGCACCGACATTTCGGTGCCGGTGCTCATGCCTAGCTCACGTTACTCGTGGGAGCACTTGAAATGCCAGAAACTTGAAATGCTACTGATAGACTAGTACAGCTTAGTTGACCATGCGATCAGTTCACCGCCAACGAACAAATGATGAGAATTTTCTGGAACTTTTTATGTGAGCAGTGTGTAAGGCATCAGTACATGGTATTCCACCCATTCCACCAGCTTAGGAGTTTGAAAAACACGGCGGACAATGAATCTTAAACTTTGTGAGACAGCAAAGAGCACATATTTGTACCTATGAAACGTAGTGGGATGAGAAAGGGAGCCCTAGCTCGGACTGGCATTTCAAGTGTTATTTTGTTTGCAATCCACCACATTCTCATGGGCCAAAGAACGGGCACATGGATCGCGCAGGCCGTAATAGGCCGGCCTTGGACCAGGCCGGCTGGGCTTACCTTGGATGGGCGGAGGGCGGCTCATCATTGACCGGCCCTAACTCATCATTGATCGGCCCTAACTCATCATTGACCGGCCTTAACTCATCATGGATCGGCCCTAACTCATCATTGACTGGCCCTATCTCATCATTGACCGGCCCTAACTCATCATTGACCGGCCTTAACTCATCATTGACCGGCCCTAACTCATCATTGACCGGACTTAACTCATCATTGACCGGCCCTAACTCATCATTGACCGGCCCTAACTCATCATTGACCGGCCCTAACTCATCATTGCTTAGCTTAGTGCCTGAAGCACTACTACACACTTGTGAAAAAAACAAGAAAAGAAACCAGCTCACCAACAAGCTCAGCGATGACTTGCGAGAGGCGAAATGGATCGCCCAGTAGAGTTGATGGAACGTTCTCATCCACATCGAATGTCACTGCAATGAACAAGTGAATAGTGTTGGGCTGAGAAAGCCCTTAAGGATCTTTGCAGAGGATAACTCTGGGTAGGATATTTGTAATAGCGGAAGCGTTTAATGAAGTTTGTGAACCGACCTTGCACTAGTGTGTGAGAGCAAAGTGGATTAAATTAAACAAGCAAATACAAGATTTTATACAAGAGTACAGGGAATACGAATAGATGGATAACTGCATTGCTGTTGCGATTCGATACAGTGCGACTCGGGCAACTGCTCTGTAACGAGTCAGTTGTGTGTCCTTAACTGTCGCGCTGTAATTGTCGAGTCAAAGGTCGCTGACCTTTGACTTTCCCGTAACCTCCAGGCGGTTACCCTAACCTCCGAGGTTTGACTCGATGTTTCGATTCGGACTGCTTCGCTAGTGTCTTGGGTTTTGACACGACAGAAGCGCCTTTAAGACTTATTGTTTCCAACAAATAGTACAACACTGTATATAAGCACAAAAAAAAATAAAAAAAATCCGGTGTAATTGTAAACTTGATAGCACAATCGTACCATGCAAATCCACCGAGTGTGAAGAATGCTTCAATGATGTGGCCGCCTCGCTCACGATGCGGCGCAGGCAGCAGGGGAGAGTCTCAAGCTGCAGCCTGCCGGCCTGCAGCTTGGCGAGGTCCAACACTCGGTTGATGAGCTCCACCGTCTCGCCCGCACACGCCCTCGCATCTATCAGGTCGGCCCGCTGCCATTCCTCCAATGGCGACTCCAGCAGCTCCTCTATCATGCCTGTGTGGGAGGGGAAGGGGTGGGAGGAAGGCGGGGGTTGATGAGCTCCACCGTCTCGCCCGCACACGCCCTCGCATCTACCAGGTCGGCCCGCTGCCACTCCTCCAGTGACGAATCCAACAGCTCCTCAATCATGCCTACGTAAGGAAAAACGCACATCCCAGTTTGGGGTGTAGAAAAAACGAGATAATAAGGGGTAATAGCGGAGAACTCCTTTATAGAGAGCTGTTGGCGATTTTAAATGCTCAACAATCATGCCTAGGATGAGAGGGAATATGCAGTTTGAAGAGAGGTATAATCAGTGGTGGGATTCTATTGTCTCCTTTGATCAAAACACTGAGAGAAATAGAGAGAGGGACTAATGGTATGGCATGCACGCCCCATCCACCATGCCATGGTTTCACTCACCTCACCCAACATGCCATGCTCTCTCCCACCCATCATGTCATTCCCTCACTCACCCATCATGCCAATGCACTCACCCATAGGGATGAGCAATATGACGAACACGTTCGAGGCGAACCGAACAGGATTTTTTTTTGGCCTAATTTTTTCGGGGCGAACGTGTTCGGTGTTCGCCCGAACACGTTCGCCGTTCGCCCGGCTCAGCTCGCCGAGGCGCGTCGAACACGAACGTGTTCGTGTTCGACACGGGCCTTCGACAAACACCAATGTGTTCGTCGACGAATAGGCCCGCGACCAATTTTTAGGTCGCGGGCCTTGGTGTTTGGGCTCAGATCTGGCCTTTCGCAGTTAGTAAAGTGCAGATCTAGCATTTCGCCATTGCTTAAGTGCAGATCAAGCATTTCGCCGTTGCTTAAGTGTGGATCGAGCATTTCGCCGTTGTTTAAGTGCGGATCGAGCATTTCGCCGTTGCTTAAGTGCGGATCGAGCATTTCACCGTTGCTTAAGTGCGGATCTAGCATTTCGCCGTTGCTTAAGTGCGGATCGAGCATTTCGCCGTTGCTTAAGTGCAGATCTAGCATTTCGCCGTTGCTTAAGTGCGGATCTAGCATTTCGCCGCTGCTTAAGTGCGGATCTAGCATTTCGCCGTTGCACTCTGGCACTAGATGGATGAAGCAGGGCGGGACTGGCTTGGGAGGTGGGGGGAGAGAATGTGCGACGATTTGAATTTTACTCTATATTGAATTTCCCCCTAGGCGAACACGAACATGTTCGCCACGAACATGTTCGTGTTCGCCTGTTGCAGCAATTCGTTCGCCTCCTAGGGCGAACGGCGAACACCTATTTTCACTCAAGTCGTTCGCCGAACCGAACACTGTTCGGTTCGGCGGAAGGCCATGTTCGTCAGGGGGCGAACACGAACATGTTCGAGTTCGCCCCCTGCTCATGCCTACTCACCCATCATGCCAATGATTGGGGTGCGCAGCTCATGCGACGTGCTGGCCACCGCCTCACTCTTGGACCGCTCAACTCTCTCCAAGATGGTCGTGCACACCCGAATCTCCTTCATGTGCTTCTCCATATTCCTCCTCTTCCATGCAAGGACTATGATAACAGTGGACAGCAGCACTGCCACTAGCAGCACCAGCAGACCTAGCAGCATGGGCGCATACACGAGGTCCCAGGTAGGTGGGGGAAGAAGAAACCTGAAAGAGGGAAAGGAGTAAAATTGGAAAGATGTGCTAATATTTAGAGATGTTGTACAGATTTCAGCAGATTTGTTGTGGATTTGTTGCACTCCCCGGCAACTTCTCGGGTTTTGAAACTTCTCAAAAAACAATCCTGAAACACTTGCAATCAATGTGCTTTTAGAGTTGGGTAGTATAATAAATCCCTGCAGTGTGCCTTGTATGTGCGCCCAAGCATGTGTTAGTGTTAGCCTTCAATCTCACATTTTGTACTTCGTATTTTCTATATCCTAGAGTAGTGTAGTTTGCACTTTGTGTTTGGTTGGGTGTACACCTACATCCCAACCCAACCCAAATGTAATCTCCAAGCAATCTCCAACCCACCAATTGAAGATTGCCTTGGGATTACCCCCAATCCCTAGGGATTGCCCCCGATTCTCTTCCCATCCATTCCCTACCCTTCTTTGATGTACTTAAAGAGCTTCGAGATCATTACTAATGCATCGTTTCTAAGCCTAAGTTCTAACATGGTATCAGAGCCCTTCAACCGCACACGCGGATCATGATCCTCTTATCTCTGCGGATGTTCGTCTCGCAAACCTCGGCGTAACCACCTTCAATCCGTCGCCGGTGATTCGCGACATTCGTGGGCGGAAATTCTCCCACACCACTTTCCCGTCACTTTCGACGACATCTACTATTTCACTGGTTAGCGCATCGTCGGCGCTATAACCTTTCACTCGTTTTCGTCGAACGTCATCGCGTCATTTCTTCTCCTCGTCGGGCCGCCGCCCGTCACCCTGCAGCTTCTCGACGGGCCGCCGCCCGTCGCCCTGCAACTTCTCGTCGGGCCGCCGCCTGTCGCCCCCCAGCTTCTCGTCAGGCCGTCGCCCGTCGCCCCGCAGCTTCTCGTCGGGCCGTCGCCCGTCGCCCCGCAGCTTCTCGTCGGGCCGTCGCCCGTCGCCCTGCAGCGTCACCTTCGGGCTGCTGCCCGTCGCCCCGCATCTGCACTTCTACCCCATCCCCCCCCATTTCCCGCAGCTGAACAGGTGCAATAGCGCAGCCGAGCAGCAGCGCAGCCGCGAAGCCGAGCAGCCGTGTAGCCGCGAAGCCGAGCAGCAGCGTAGCCGCGAAGGTGAGGGTGGTGTGTGGGGGGGTGTGTGGGAATAGGGCTAGCAGACACTAAATCAGCGCTTCCGTCAAATTCTCCTTCGAAAACCCAAAACCTGAAAAATTCTCTTTTGTAAACCCAAAACCCCAAGTTCTTCAAATTCTCCTTTGTAAACCCTAAACCTCGAGTTCCTATCGGTGACTTAAGAGCAGCGCTCCGCGCAAGACACTAAGAGCTCCTCATCATGGCATTTGCCTCATCCACCATGGCCAACCCCATCACCCCACTCCGCCTTGAAGCCGATGGCTCTAGCTCCAACTTCAAAGCATGGAGCTATGGGGTTGACAAGCACCTCTTGAGTCGTGACGTGCAGGGATTGGACCTCAAGGACGTCCTCCTCAACCGTGGCAAGGGAAAACAGCCCCCAATCCCCCGTGAGCCGACCGAATCCACTAGTGATACTGACATGAGGGCGTACGAGGAAGCTGTTGAGAAAAACCGGAAATGGGAGAAGGCCGATGCTCCTATCATCAGCGTCTTCATTGCCTCCACCCCTCCCGAACTTGTCAACACGTTCCACAACTACCCTACCTCCAACGCCATCTGGAAGTACCTCCAGGATCGGATCATGAACAAAACTGTGGTCGGAGTTGCCATCCTCATCCCCAGCATGTTTCAAGTCCGCCTTGAGGATTGCTCGGGAATGGCTGACTACATCGTCAAGGTGCAGACTATCCATGGCGAACTTAAAGAGCTGGGTATAGTCTTTACCACCATCGGCTCGGGCACCCGAACTTCCGCACACTTGCTGACATGGCCTCCAAGAAACTTCTTTTCGGCCTGCCAGCCGCACTTCCTCCACCACCTGACTCACCCGCTCCCACGTGCCTTGATTGCACCAAGAGCAAACTGCGCCAACAGCCCCCCATCCTGCCTCACCCACAGTCGCAGCAGCACCTCTCGACCTCGTGCACATGGACGTCTGGGGCCCTGCCCCCGTTCCCGCACGAGGTGGCCATCGCTACTTCCTTGCAATTGTGGATGACCACTCCCGCTATGTCTCTGTTCACCTCCTCCACACCAAGGCTGAGGCCCCATAGGTCATCATGGCGTGGGTCAAGCAGGCACAGACCGCTTTTGACCGCAAGGTCAAGCGCCTTCACTCGGATGGGGGGGTGAATTTTGCAACGACAAGCTCATAGCCGTCTGCTCCTCGGAAGGCATCCAACAAAACTTCACCCTCCCTAACAGCCCGCAGCAAAACGGCATAGCAGAGAACCGCAACCACACCCTAGTGCAGATCACTCGGTGCCTCCTCAGCCATTCCAACGCTCCCCTCTCTCTCTGGGGGTACGCCCTCTACCATGCTGCCCTCCTTTATAATCTTTACCCCCATCCGCATCTTCCCGACACCACTCCAACCACACTTTGGCTCGGGAAAACACCCACTGCTCGCTCTCTTCGCGTCTGGGGGTGCACCGCCTATGTCCTGCTCAACCCTCAGGCCAGACGACAGCGCGGTGGCAAACTCGGTCCCAAGACTCAAACGTGCATCTACCTTGGGCACAACGCCGACTCCCCTGACTATCTCTTCCTCAACCCCTCCACTCAACAGTTAGTCCGGAGCCGCGACGTTGTCTTTGATGAACTCCACCCATTTTACTCCACCTCGGGACCGGATCCTCCTTCTGATCCCCCCTCTCTCGTATAGGCGGACTTTGATGCGCACCCTGACCCCCCACCTGCACCGGCCCCTTCACCACCTCCCTCCCCTGCCATCGCACCCTCCCCCTCATAGATCTCTGACCCGACCTCGCCGGTGTCTTCGGCGGCTGCCCCTCCATCCCCCTCACCTCCCACTCTGCCGACTGTGCTGCCACCTCCGAGCGCACCTATCACTTACCATCGGCGATCACACCCTCCGGCCCCACATCCTCCCCCAGTTCCCCCTACCACCGAGGAACCCGCTCTCCCACACTCGCCCAAGCTGATCACGTACCACAGGCGGCCCATTCCCCCGCCCAAGCCTCCTAAGTCAACCCCTCCGACACCGCCTGCCCCACCCTCTTCTCCGGTGGCTCATGGCACTAGTTCGCATGGCGCTGCTCTTCCACTGGCACTGATTCTTCGATGCACAGCGATCACACCGCCTCCTCCTGCTGGGGGGGATGTGCCCTCTACCCTTCTGGAAGACAGGCATGAGGAGCTGTGTGATCTTCACGCAGTCATTCCTCAGCTCTCGCACATCTTCCCCGACATCACTGAATCACACTCACTCAACGTCGCGGAGAACCCGACCATCCCTATCCCTCTCACCGTCCAAGAGGCTCTCTCGGGTCCCCATGCAGCCGAATGGCGTGTTGCCATGGAAGCAGAGATTGAAGCGTTCACCCGCAACCACTCTTTCGACGACGAGACTCCACCTCCAAGAGTCAACATCGTTGGAGGCAAGTGGTTGTTTCGTGTGAAACAGCTCCCAGACGAGGCCCCGATGTTCAAAGCGCGTTACGTAGCCAAGGGTTTCACCCAGCAGCAGTACCACGACTTCTTCAAGACCTTCTCCCCCACATCCAAACCTCCCACTATTCGCACGCTCATGGATGTCGCATCACGAGAAGACTTTGAGATCAAGTCCATGGACGCCTCATCAGCTTTCCTACAAGGATGCCTCAAGGAGACAGTGTTCATGGACAGACTTGAAGGCTTCCCAGGAGAATTCCCTCCCAACACTGTCTGGAAGCTGAATCGCCCCGTCTACGGCCTTAAGCAAGCCCCTCGCGAATGGCACAACAAGGTGAAAGAAGTCCTTCTCTCCCTGGACTTCCACCCCTCGTCTGCTGACCCGACTCTCTTCATTCGCAGTCATTCTAAGCCACTCTACATCCTTGTCTACGTCGATGACTTCATCCTCGTTGCGAAGGACGCGACCCAGATGACCTCTGTCCAGGCGGCTCTGAGCAAGGCCCTCCAAATGAAAAACCTCTGTGACCTCAAGCACTACCTGGGGATGGAGATCACACGTGATCGCAAGGCTCGCACCATTTCACTCTCCCAGGAGTTCTACATCAACAATGTGCTCAAGCGGTTTGAGATGGAGCTGTGCACACCCGTTGCCACACCGTTGCCGCTGCAACACCTCCTCACGACCCCAGCTGTACCCACACCAGAGGCCTGCCCTGAGCCATACCCGGAGCTTGTTGGGTCCCTCATGTACGCCATGATGTGCACCCGGCCTGACTTGGCGTATCCTGTCAGTGTCCTCTCTCGCTACGTGGCCCCTGGGCGTTTCACTGATCTTCACTGGAAGGCAGCGAAGCGGGTACTGCGTTATCTCCAAGGCACCAAGTCTCACGCTCTCACACTTGGTGGGCTCTCCCCTCCTCGGCTAGAAGGTTACACTGACTCCTCTTGGGCCGATGACTAGACCGACCGACGCTCCTCTCAAGGGTTCCGATTCACCCTTGGGAGCGGAATTGTTAGTTGGCACTCCACCAGGTCGTCAGCAGTCTCCCTCTCCTCCTGTGAGGCAGAGCTCTACGCTGGCACCATGGCTGCTCAAGAGGCCCGGTGGCTCACCTTCCTACTCCAAGAGCTTGGCTACCCTCAGTCCACCCCCACCCTCTGGTGTGACAACCAGAGTACTATCCACCTCTCCCAAGACCCTGTGTATCACACTCGCACCAAGCACATCGAACTTCGGCATTTCTTCATCCGTGACCTTGTCCAGCGGGAGCAGCTGAACGTGGAGTACGTTGCATCTGACTGCAACCT